AAATTTATGATCTGTCAATACTCTTTTTTATTTCAAAGACACTATGTCAACACAGAATTAAAAAAAGTTTGCTCAGTCGAAAATCGCAAACGTTATGAATAGATAACAAATTCTCAATAAACAGTTTTCACTTTACATATTGATTAAGAGAAGGATATTTGAACATGTTTGGGCTCTCAATGTACGTTATTTAATAATCGTGGTATTTCTTCATCATCTTCGAAGAAAAATTGAATGAATTCTTTTATTTCAACTTTCTTCGTCCTTGTTTTTCTGACCCTGCAGATATTCACATCGATGACAGTGTGTTCTATATTAGAACGTAAGCGTTCGGGTATAGTTATATGTCAGAATATAGATGAATTGATTACCCACGCCCACGCTCATATCGTCAATTTTTTATCGCTCTTCTACTAATAGATCATCCTGTATACACTTTGATTTTAGATGAAAGTAATGAACGAATGGCATGCGAGAGATTATCTTTTGGGGGAAAATGATGTCTGTAAATAGTTTATTTCTACAGATCGCGTTCATTGAAAACATTGCCAACATGGCGTTATCAAACCTGAGACAACATTGATGAGTCTCTGGGCAAGTCACTAAGAAGGATGTGGGAATAAGTGGAAGTGGGAGAGCTGGTTTCTTCGTTTAACTCATCTTGACACTCACACCCCGATTTTCATCAGGTTTTTTATTTTGATTCACCAAGACCACATAGATAATCGTCCTTTTGCCAATTTTAAAGCATAATCAGACTGATGACACATTCAAAATGAGCAAATTGTAACTATACAAGCTTTCAAATATATCGAAGAAACAAAAGATGGATCAATTCAATTTAACAAGTTTTAAATACATAAAACAACTATCAAATTGTTAAGCGAATCAGTGCAATGTTAAATTTCTAGAGGAGCGGATAAAATGTCATGTCTATCAGATTGTCGATTTTGCGAATGGATAAGTATTGGATAAAATACTTCACAAAAATTTCTCTTATTTTACTTTGCGCCTTTCAACTTTAGGATGAATTTCGCTTGTATGCAATAGATTTAATCTGGAGATATGAGCAGCGAAAGTTGGTCTAAAAACTGATTTTTACTCAAATCGTGGAATCCATAAAATACCAACCACTCAACCGTTCGAGCTGAAATTTATGGCATATGTAGAACTTCGTTAAGTATTGATGTACAAAAAATTTCAGCACAAACAGTTGATGTTTTCTTGATTTTTTGGGGTGTCCAAAATCTTCTCTCTCGTGAAAGTGAGTTTTACAGTGATTTTATAGGGTGCAGGACTTTTCGTCTCACCTCTTCCGAACATCCGGTCACATATCCGGATGTTCGGAATTAACTTTTTTTCATGTCCGGCGTCCGTAAAGAGCCGCGTGCAGGAGATCGTAATAGAATACAGGGAGATCGGAATGTTTTTACATGATGTTCGGAATAGAATTTTTCTTGTATATCTGATATAACACCGGGAGATCGTGATGAATAATGTCAGATGTTCGGAATAATGCATGTTACAAAAAAAACAACCGGATGATCGGAATAACATTGACCGGAACTTCGTAAAAAAGATACACTGGGAGATCGTAACGGATATAAAGACTTTTATTTCTGTTTTTCTATATAAGAATAGCGTTCATTTACTTAGCACATTCATAATTATATCAGGAGATATTTTTCTTTCTCTATCGCTGTTCTCTATATTTTAGTAACTATAAAAGTTTTTTCTAACTTTCGTCTTAATGTATTCATAATATTGATAGATGGCAGTAGCTTCTGTACAAATGAAACACTATATAGTGTATGTATGTGGGCACCGTTTAACGTACACAACCGTTTAAGGGAAAGTATAAGCACCATTATAGAGGCACAAAAAAAGAAATATTATTGGTCACAAATTTTTCAAATAGAAAAATTTTTTCTGATTAATGACTCACATAAATTCAGTCAAGGTACTACTGTTTGATAGAGTTTCAACAATTCAACATTATTTTCTAGAATTTCAACAATTTAACATTATTTTCTATTAATTAAGCTACAGCTAAAAAAATTACACGACCGCGGCTACTGCCGTGATCTTTTTGCACCAAAAATGTTATCCATTTTTATACTGCTGTTTCTCACAACAAACTCATTCTGTACATTGTTTACAATGAACTTTGAATTATCAGATGTATATTCAAACCGCTAACCGAAGATCTATTAACTGTTAAAGACTTACATGTTTAAATTTATTATTTAATTCAAGAATAATATATATTCTAGTCGAACCTGTAATACGGTTTTGTAGTTATCTTTTTTTTTTCAATTTTCTCTTTCTAAAAAGAGTATTTTCCTCACCGTTATAAAATTGCATAACAAAACTTAAGGATTCATATTAGAAAAATCTGAAATTCACGGTCTAATCCGTTTTCATCTCCTCTCTTCAAAGGTGAAAACTGCAGTTCTCTATCTGGTTTCTGTCAAAATTTATTAAAAAAAAAACACTCACGAGCATTCATTTAACTGTTACGTATCATAGCAAACAGCTATTTGCCAAAATTTTATAATTGTGTATTAGTTGAATAGCAATGAAATAGCACAGAAAAATAGAGCATCGCTTTCTCTATCATTACATAAAAAAGAAAGTTCCCTCAAGCCTCTATACGAAATGAATATTCAAATTTTTGATCCAAATGAGATATTTAGTTGGATGATAGTAACAGAATGTTGCAATATTATGCTTAAAGTAATATTTAATGAAATCTTGATTTAATAAAGAAAACAGAGGAATACAAATAATAAAGTTTGAAAAAATAAAAAGTAAATAATAAAATAATAAAGAATCCACAAGAATATAAAAATAATGAAGAATCTATGAGAATATAAAAATAATAAAGTATCAACAAGAATATATGTTTCATTTTGAGAGAAGATAAAATGCTCGTGAAATAGTGTGACAACCTTTTGTTGTCTTGAATAAGTCATCAATAATAGCATGTTGCTTGTGTTTGCTACATGCAGTCATACCAATGAAATGATCAGGTTTGTGACTTGTTGCACCTATTAATGTGTATCTGAATCATATTGCGATGTTTTATTTGTGTTATTTTTATAAAATTTGACTTAAGTAATGCTCACTTTTTATCTTTCAAGTAAATGTCAGATGGAACATTAGCCGTTGTTATGGTTGCTTCAACATTTGCAATCAATAGCATTATTGGATCACTAAAATTCGTAAATTTTGGCTCTGAAGATGCGCGTTGAGCAGCACAGACAACATAAATACTATGATACAACTCTTGTTATTGATATAGTTATAGCTCTTTAATAAAGTTTACCTTGATTCTTCTTCATTCCCTTCAGGTGTGTCGAGTATTTTTATCTTCTTCAAATGTTTCAATTCAGCATTTGGTGGTACAACAGTACTTGGTGACCATTTGGTAATTTCATTACCACATTTTTCTGTTAATTGTGTCTTATATTGAGCAATGATCGGATGTTGAATTTTACCGTCGATCACACTAGATAGAGAAGAAATTTATTATCATAAATTGCTTCGAATTGTATATCACATAGTGGAGAACAGAATCCTTCAATCTGAAGACCCAGCGCTATTTGAAATTTTCTAGGTGAAACGGAATAAATTTCATTGATATTTATGCGCTTCTGTTATTTGTAATATAGATATACAATTAAAGGACAAAGAAAGGACAAAAAATGACTTCTTTTGCACAAAGGCCGATTAAATTAGTTGAGCAAATTTTTGTAAAGATGCTTCTTTCAATTAGTAATCTTATTTCATTTACACAATAATAAAATCGTATAGAAAACTATATTGACTGTTTTAGGAATTAGAGAAAGTTTATATCATATTAAGGAAAGAAAAATCGAAATCAATCATCCTACTCATGATTTGATTCTTTATTTCATTCAAATCTTTACATTAATCAATTTCTTTATATGAGATAGTGGTTTATCTAAACTATCAGTGGCAAAATACCAAGAAAGATATTTCAAGACGTGGTTTCAAACTGTTTTAAAGCTAAATTGTAAATAAGATGATTAGCTTCAAAAATAAAAGAAAATTTGCACACATTATATGTCTCTTATTAACATTAGTCGTATATCAGCTTTTGATTGAAATATAATTTATAAATTGATTATTGTGAAGCGAAAATAGTGAGAAGAACTTTGAAACATATGAGAGTTATTGGTACTCAAGTTGAATAAGTTCGCGATTACTATTTCGGAACAATATATAACCTAGTCCTAATTTTTCTAGCATTCTATGATATAGAATTCTATAGTATAAATTTCTTTAATTGATGATTGAAGAAACTGAGAACTTCCTAAATAGTTTCAAAGTTTCACCACATACTTGAAAGATAAATAAGAATTTCGATAAATCTTTTTTTTGATCGGGCATTTGATGTTATTGCAATCAGTTTCACATTCATACATTTGAAATAAATTACTCAGATGATTCGCAAAAAATGCATCTTCAGAACCAAAACAATTTATATAAACTTCAGTTACCAGGTCTTCTTCGATTTGTTGATATTTAACCATTTGACATGCAAATGTATTTTGATTCATCTTTTTCTGCAAAAGACATCAAAGAAATGATATATAAATAGTTTAATTTCTAACGACAAAAACGTTTTTGAAAAATATCATTATAAATTAGATGGTATTGACTTATTGAATTGTTTGCTGAAGGTATCATTTCTACTTAAATCAACATTTTTGTGTTGATTTCTGAAAATTTAAATGATTTTACTTCTGCAGTTATCCTTTTTATAGTTAAATTCATGAACATGAAATCTTCTTTAAATTTGAATATTATTTGACATAAATTCGATGGGGAAATTTCGGATTTCGTTGTTCAACTTCTCGATAATGGTTCAATAAATTAACTGCTCAGTATTAAAAGAACATATTACGTCAATCTATAGACTACATTAATATGTAATATGTACTCAGCTCCGATATGTCGAGAAACAGTTAGAATTATGGAACACGCACTTTTAAATAACCAAATGTATTTTTTTCATTTCCATGTTGCTGCTTGAGTGCCTTGTCTACAACACCAATCATTTTTGACCAAATAAACCGTGCCATATCCCAATCCAGTTTGTGCAATGAGGGCTCCATTTTGAGAAGTGTTTGAGCCACGATATTGTCACGCTGTGCTGCAGATTCAAGGACATATCGAAAAGAATTGTAAGTGAGAAAAGCAAGTCGCATAAATGATAAAAAGTAATCCAAAGTACAGGTTGCTACAAATATGAATCTTAAATTCCCTTCTATCACAGTACCACCATTGTTTGGAACAGCTGGATCACAAGCAACACATTTTCTTCTCATTTCTTTATATTGCAGAGATTGTAATTCATCAGATGTTTCAGGATCTATTGTCAAAATAGCAGTAATTTAGAAAAGCTTATGAATGACAGCATGAACTTACAGAAACAAGGAATTTCGAATCGAACATCATCTGATGTATCATCAAAATTTTTCATTAAATGATTTTCATTATTTACTTTCTTAAGTTCGTCGTATCCTAAACATAAGTACAACTATTTGGGAGACCAAACAAACTAGTCGATAATGAATGTTATACTTATCTGATATATACTAGTGTTGATGAATAACTAGTATTACATAGACGACTATAAAAATTATATGCATAAAATGTAAACAAAATGCAAAATAGAGAGCGTTATAAATAAAATTTTTAGCACCATAGTTACCGTTTAGACCTTGTAAGTGGAACGAAACTGTTTTGTTTTCATTTGTACCTTCCATATTAAAGGAGTTGGTAGTGAATGGTTGTGAAAAACATTGAATATTGTTAAATGAATCACATATATTGTTTGTAGTGTTCTTTAAGAACACTTTATCTTCTTCGCAATAGTTTTGATATCTTTGACCTGAAAGTAAGAAATAGGAAAAAAGAACTTCACAAAAGTATAAAGTATGTCTTACGAGAATTTGATGTGCATGTTTTATTACTTGTTGTATTCTTTGATATTTGATCAATCGTTGAAACTATATTTTTGCCTGTCTTGTTTTCTAAAACAGCAGAATCATATATACGTATGGCGCTCTAATACGGCGAAACTCACGTAAATCTTTTTAGCTATTTTCTGAATGACTACGATTATGCCAGATTACAGTTTTTTTAATAGATCTATTAAGTGTAAACTAGTACCAATACCGTAGTCGACTGTTCCCAACAATATCCCTGGGAAGAGTCTCATGAAAAATGTGAAATCACCGGAAACTCCTTGTCATGAGTCTTCGGTGAGTTGCACATCTAAAGAACTCCCTTAAAACTCTCCGGGGCACAGTGGTGAGCCAAGGAGGCATATACAAAAATATTTTTTTCCACAATCTAATCGTTTGTGTAGATACATCCATATATGGTCTATCATTTCTTAAAATAGCGGTTCTCAAAGTTTTATAGAGTCAAAGAAAGGTTTTCCCAAGGCTTGGGCCAAGAAGTCAGCATAAATAACCAATGTAAAGCTGCTCGGCAGTTTAACTCAATATTCAACAAGCAATGTCGTAAAAACCTTGCTGATCTATGGATTTTATGGCAAGAAAATGATCCTAATGCAACTTAAAATAGAGTAGAAATTAAGAAGCCTCTCTGCAAAAAACCTATCCAAAATCTACCGTTCGGTATGTTAAAAACCCTACAAAGGAATCACATCTGATGAAGGGCGTATTTTTACCACATTTAAGCACATATATACCCTAATTTAGGTAGTAGCATCAACTCGTGAACCTTTTTCTAGCCTATCCTATAGAATTTCCAAAAATCCAGTTTTTTGTATGGTCATGAAAACACAGTCGCTATTTGCTAATAGAAGAAGTTTTACTCAATGTTTTACCTATCTTTATTTTTTTAGCTGTATTTTTGGGATGGAAATGTTTTGATGTAGTTTTTTCAGTGGCCATGAACAACCGTTTTTCTTGTTCCTGGACTGTTCGGCATGTAATATTGTCAACAAAAAACCAGTCTTCACGAACGCAATTCTTGTATTGATATTGAATTAAGTACAAAAAATCAGCTGGTTTTGCTTGCACGACAATTCCTGAGCAAGTAACATTTCTATTTTTTGATAAATCGAATTTTCTTCCAGTTAATTTTACCAACACTTTATCTAGAACAAATAATTACTTAATAATTAATTTATTAATAAGTATATCAATAGAATAATACTTATCTTACAACGAGATCGATTAATGGTCTTAGAAAAGCAAATCAAACGCAAACAATAAAACTATAGCATTGATTAAATAAGTTAAGCTTAATAAAATCAATATAAAAGCAAGCTAATACTATGTATACTGTACCGCCAACATTGTAAGATATTGCGCAAACTTGCTTTTGGTAGATGGATTTTTGCTTGTCGTAATAAAGTTGTATTTTTTCATGTGCTTCTTCTTTCGCTTGTTCTTTCATTTCAATTGCGTTGATTAAAACACTTCCTGATATTGGTTCTTCATAATCCAATTCAATATAGGTCTAACAATTATTAAATATAGTTCATCTTTATTGAATCTTTGTATGTCAATAAGATATAGCTTGTGGGCACATATTTATCATTTCTCATGTTAAAAATACACTTTGATTTTGTCATTGTTGTTAGACATGAACGGGATTAAAAAAGCTATAGTATCATAGAAGAAACTTGTTACACCATTACTCAAACTATAAGATGTCAAAGTGCCAATATTATAATGAAGCAGGTATGAGACTTCTTGGTATAGGTTTTAATGTACAGGTCACTTTATGCTACCTCGGGAAGAAAAATATGTACCACTGTAATGGATTATAATTGAGCGAAAAAACTATGTTGTAGGGAGAAATTAAAATTCAAGGAAATATAAAATTGTCCTAGAATGTTATGGGAAATTTTGAAATCACCTAAGGCATTTCCTAGAGCAGTTTAAAGTTGTCATGAACTCCAACTTCTTATACAACATATATATATAGCTATAAGATAGCCAGGAAAGTTTTATTTACAATCATCAGAATATCATTTTATCAATATTTTACTTAATTATATTTGATATAATTCATTTTAGATATTTTTTCATACGAACATGATCTAAGCAAGATCTTTTTTTATTCTTTACAGTTAACATTACAATTATCATCACTGTTAAGAGTCAAAGTATAACAAAAACTCTTCCTGGTTATCTGAATTCACGATTTTCATCAAATGAAGATTTCAATTTATCGAAATTGTCAATCAAAGACATATATTAATATTGGCTTGTATAATATATATATTTGAATTGTTTCTTGTTTTTGTTTATTATTAACGACTATGCTAATGTTTACAAGTGAATAAGTATGAATCATAATTCTTTTATGGCATATTATATTATATAGAGAACCAGTTCAATAGATATTTTACTTCACTCAAACTCATTTTGACTTTTTCAATTTATGAGTACATACGTTTTCATCTTCCTCTTCATTCATAACTGCATTTGAACCACCTTTAACAACAGCTTCACGTCCGAAATAAACAAAAAAAGGAGTAAAATTTCCTATGAATAAAAACAATGGTCAGTAAATTGGCAATCAAATTGGAACACATACCAAGACCACGATGCTTTGACTGATTGTAAGTTTCAGAATATAAAGAAAGATTGGTAACCCAATTTTCATTTCCATTTATTAACATATCATAAACCATTTTATTTTTCCAAGACCGATTTAAACGTTCAATCTAAACTCGTCTGATAAAAGCATTGTGAATTGAATTTTATTATAATTAATAACCTTTCCCTGAGATTCTGGATGATAAGCACGTGATCGAATATGTCGAATATTTCTTTTACTACATAATTCGTCGAAAACACCTTTAAATTCTGTACCTTGATCCGTTTGAATAATTGATGGTGTTCCATGTTCACGAAAAATGCATTCCAAATGATGACACACTTCCACTAGTACAAATATCAAATTATATTTCTACTGAATTTTACCTGCAAATTGCTACGTAATTGCACTGTTTAATTAATCTTAACTTTCAGCTATCTACAGATGCAACAACAATACCCTCTAACACGAATTAAACGTACAAAACACATCTGAAAAGACTTTTATCGACTTTATGATACTTTATATCAACTGTAACTGATTGAAAATAATAAATACTTAATTATTGATTTTAAAGATATAACTAATACCTGCACATTTACTGGTTAACGGACGTAAAAACATATATCGTGAGAGGATATCAAGAACGACCAGTACATAACGATATTCGATGTCATTTTGGAATGCCGGCTTACGAGAAAGATCCACTAAATCAACCTGAACACGTTCAAAAACTTGCTTTGCTTGTATAATCTTCTTTGGTCCTTTATTTGAAAAAATTGGACGCATTTGACCACGTGCAGTACTTTCTTTGGTTACTTTCACAATTCGAGCTTCTGACACTTTGTAGTATATTTTATCTGAATAAGAAATAGTTTTCCTAATGTCTGTCCAATAATAAAATGGCCGTGGGTATTTTTTCAGTAGTTCAAAAACGGAAAGAGATAGAGCGCTGCAGTTTTCACCATTGTATAGGCCCTGCTCCCCTCTATCGATCCCCTAATAAATGATAAAAATCCTCATAATTTCCAATAATAGTTTTTATCAATTTTCGGACATTTCGTGAACGGTTTTCCTCTTATGATGAAGGTGTGGGTATGGGTGTATTGAGTTTCAAAAAGAATAACGCTCACAAGAACACCCACATCCCATGCCAACCAAACCAAACTTCACATTCCACACTCACACCCACACCTGTAGCCAGAGTCATACCGTACACGTCCACACCCACAC